AAACATTGAACAATGTGCGAAATAACGTCGACGCAAAAAAAAACTGTTTTATAAAGGTGAAAAAACGCATTGAATACAGCGGTAAACTAGTGTGAGCTGCGTCGATGTTTATAAAGAAACAGTTTTGCAAAAAGAGAAGTTTAACACCGTAACAAAGTAGGTGAAAAACGTACGAAGGATTAAAGTCCGAAACGTCATTATGTTTTTTCACCTTCTTTCGTTACACTGAGTTTCGAGAACTATATCCGTACCATATTCACACAAATTGGGTGTGTGTGAAATCTAACGAAAAAATGATAAATGATCTCTAGATTAAATTTTATATTGATGTTGATGTCAAATGAAATTGGAACCCTGGCGATGAAAACCGTTTTGTAAACCGATTATTTCTAGCCATGGAAAATACTTCTTTCGACAGCATAAACTGAATCCTTCGAATGAATTTTTAGTTTGCATATTTATCTTATCCAAGAAAGTTGGTCAAGATTTGAACTAAGTTCATTCCCGTTTATTGGTTCAAACGTAGTCAAAAAATGTTTGATGTATCAAAAGAAAGAAAAACAACTAAAAAACCACAGCAATAGAAAATGCCGATTCTTTAGTTAACGGTTTACTGGGTATTAATAATGATGGTTGCTAAAAAGAGTTTCCCGAAGAAATGCCGAGAAAACAAACTCAAATAAGAATTGCCGTGAGCTCAAAAAGAATAAAAATTATGGGTCATCTTTTTTTTTTCTTTCACCTAGTGATACTGAACATCCTAAAGCATCTTTTTTTTCACTACTAAAAATAGATTATAAGAGGTTAACAAAGAAAAAAGATAGTTTCATAGTTATTTACTTAAGAAATAAGTTTGATTCCAGAATCAAACTCTTCTGAATTTTAGAGTTAATTAATTCTATGATTAAAGAAAGCAAGTCTTTAGGTGCATCAAATGATGTTTCGCCAGCAGAATGGTATGATTATTTTAAAAATCTCAACAAGCTCAATTTTTCAAATGTTAGTAAAGGCAGTTACGAAACTCATATTGTTAAAACTTTGAACTTTTGGTCGAGACCGCATACAAACTGAAAAGGAGAAGATCAAGTGCGGGGATTCCATAAGTAACGAAATTATCATATGTTATGTAGGAGTTTCTATGTTAAGCTTTTTAATGCAACCCTTTTAACCGACATAGGGTGAAATCAAGTATTTCCGTCGACTGAAATGCAAAGTTTCCGTGCCGGTGTACATGCGTATGCGGTTCCGTGTACACACGTTTCCGTCCCGTTTACGACACTACGTAAACGTGGGAAACGAACTCCAAAATGACACCTTGTACACGTCAAGCCATTGCCGGGTTTCATGTCGAAAGAGACTGGGAACGAGGCGGACAAATTCAATCCAAAATGGCGGTTGTCGGGCATTGGAATTGTGTTAGTTCTTTGTGTTTGAACAGCTGGAGAACCAACATTCCAGGTTTAACATCGTACAGTCTTCGACAAATCTCTTCAAYCGACCATTTAAAGAGAGAATACAAGAAAATTCTCAAAAATGACAACCTAAACTGGAAAAAGCAAGAATTTGCTCAGAACACTGGTCTGCTGGCAAGAGAGAACATATCGATGATATTCCTAATGTCATTTGCACAAAACGATATCTAGAAAAGATGGAAAAGTCGAAATTTACAAAAAACAAAGCTAAAAAAGTAACTGCTGCTAAACAAGCCTTGCATGATGAGAATAAAAGACCTAAAAAGAAGAGACGTATCTTACAATACAGCAGACAGTCGAAGGACGATGACGGTGGTGTTGACATGAGCTGAAGACGAAAAACAAAGAAATTGAAGAGCTACGGGCCCAAGTTGAAAATTTACTGCAAGAGCAGAAATCGCAAGAAAAGAACTTCGACATACTTTTTTCTGGATTGAAGAGAGGGCAATTTTCGTATGGAAATTTAAAAGAACAACCTAGTAAATTTTTTGATTTAGCTGGTCTCTCTATAGAAGAGTTTGATTGCCTTTATCACTGTGTTCAGCCTTTTGTCCATTTTATATGTTATCCAGATTGTAAAACTGATGGATTACTCACCAATAACAGAAAACTTGACTTATAAAATGAACTGATGACTTTTTTTACTGTGAGCAGACACTCACTTCACTTGAGTGTGATGGCATGGATGGTACAAGGTAGTGAGGCAACCATTTCAAGGTGCTTTTGTGGATGGGCCGTGTTTTTGTCTACTTTATTCGACTGTCTTGACCTTCGCCCTTTACCCGGATTTGTGCAAGCATTCCTCCCAAAAGTGTTTGATAATGCAGGCTTTGCTGAGACAGAGGTGCTTGGTGATGCTACCGAATCATGGATTGCACAATCTGAAAACTTTGAGGTGAATAACATTACATTTAGCAACTACAAGAACCATACCACGGGAAAAACACCTGTATGGATCTACCCCCATGGTGGATTACTGTGTTGCAGTGACACATACCCAGGAACTATATCTGACAAAGACATTACTGAACAATGTGGGGTCCTCGATAATGTAAACAAAGGAAAGGTGGTGTTGACTGATAAGGGCTTCGCAGAGGTTTGTCTCAAAAAAGGTGTATTGCACAACAGGCCACCAATGAAATTTAGTGACCAATATAACCAGTCAGAAATTAGTGTTAACTTTGACATTGCAACGTTAAGAGTATATAATGAGAATTACATAGGACGGAT